AATTTGTGCGTTTAGGCCAGGGTTCGTCTTCGTGTGGACGGGGCCTAAAATGGACCATTTGGAATGTTTGGACATTTCTCCCACATCTGTGCCAAAATCACAGCTCTGCCTGCCACACCATCCACTAAAAACTTTGTGAAACAAATATGCTTCAACTATTTCAGTCCAAATTTGCTGCAGTCAATGGCAAGTTGGGGTGCTGTACATCCTGAGACTTAATGCAGAGTTTGTGCAAGTGTTTTCATGATGTTTCGACAAAAATAAATGTAAAAATTTATTTATTAAATAGAGAGATAAAAAACGCTGTCATTGTATGTTGATTACATAAGATATTAATGCGACTGACATTTAGAATAAGAATGATCCAAAGGAAATCGACTCAAAACTATTTATCATGGGATTTGCAAATATGTACTAAGATCAGTTTCAGAAGGGGTTCAGATAAGTTATCAAGATTCAAATGTCTCTGTACTGGAAAGAAAACTATCTATGATGTTAAATTTTTTCATGGAAAAGATTATGAAAGCTAAAGTATGTTGTCAATAAATGGAGCACTGCAATCATCCAGAATTTGGCTAATCTCTATTTAGTTGGCAAAAACACATTTAACTGATTGCATTTTTCCCATGGTGGCAGTTTACATGATGAAGGGTCAAACTGCTAAATTGAAAAAGGACATTTTTATTTTTATTTAAAATATCTAAAACAATGCAGATGTTCATGAGTACAATTTTAATAAAAATTATCTAAATGTTTTAAAGAAGTTGTTTCATACCATCTTTGGACATTACATCTCTTAATATTGCTAGAAGCAGTAAAATTCAGAATAACCCTAACCCTGGCATCAGTGGCATTAATATAATTTTTTAGCTCTTGTTATTATCAGCTACCCCTTTTTTCACTGGATAGAGAAAAATTCCAGAACGTTCACAACAATTTAGCAATTCACATAATTTCTCCTCATCTGTACATTGTCATTGTTTCAATGGATCCATTGGACTTTTAGTGTGAGAAGCATGGTTCCTGGCCAGCCAAAAAATATACTGAATTAGATTATTTCATTAATATAAAGAATAAGATCAAAATCATTAACCTGAGCTGCTCAGCATGACAAATCTCATTATATGTATAACAGCGTATGTAACAGACACACACATAATCAATAATAATCCTAACAACCACCATGCACCTCATGATGCAACTTAAAATTTTGGTGCTTCACCACCAACACTCATGACATTTATTAAATTACATAAATGTTTTAAGGTTGTGTCTTTCTTCTTGTATTTGTATTCTGATATTCTTTTCTAAACATACTTTTATTCTTGATTATAGAACAACTATTGGACTGTCAGACAATCAGAGCATCTGTCATCCAGGTAAGACTGAAGATCCACAATAAATACTTCATTCTATTAAGAAATTCCACATCATTAGATGTGATTTAGAGACTTACATTTACTGTTGTCAATCACTTTCACTATGGCCCCATCCACACAGAGACAACCTAAGGTGCATCAGCGGCATGGTTAGATTGGATTAATTTCATAAAGAATGTGCGTTTTTTCCCCCCATCTGCCTCTGCTGTACCTGTATTTGTGACAGAAGGTCAGATATAAATAGTAAGTTGAGGATAATGGTGCCATGATGCACCATTTTTACACCATTAACCTATATTTAGTCATTATAAATCAGCTGCTGACCATTAAGACACTGGGCATCAAATAGGCCAACATATGCTCTTTATTATATAACAATGTTCTGGTTCTAAGAATGGTGTGTATTGATTTGTATCTCATAAAGTGTATAATGCATGTAAATACCTCATAGCGATAATACTTATTAATGTTATAGATTTTTTTTTTTTTATTTAAACACAAAAATATATTCTCTAGATTGTTTAGTATTTTTTTTTCTTTTAGCAGACAATGACCTGCAGCAAGTCCTAAAGAAACATAAGAAAACTCTAAGGGAGAGATGTGAATTTGTAATTGAAGGAAATAATGAAAAAGGAGGTAGAACTCTCATCAACATGATCTACACTGATATCTACATCACAGACGGACAGAGTGAAGAGGTCAGTACCGAACATGAGGTTAAGCAGCTGGAGAAAGTTTTCAAAATCCAGAACCTCAATGACAGACCAATCAGGTGCCATGACATCTTTAAATCCTTATCTAAAGAAGATAGAGTCATCAGAGTGGTTCTGACCAATGGTGTTGCTGGTATCGGAAAAACCATCTTAGTGCAGAAGTTCACTCTGGACTGGGCAGAGGGTTTGGAGAACCAGGATGTCAGTGTGGTGGTTCTGTTTTCCTTCAGGGAGCTGAACCTGATCAGAGAAGAGCAGCACAGCCTTCTCACGCTGCTTCATGTTTTCCATCCAACCCTCCAAAAGCTCCCAGCAGAGAAGATGACTGTCTGGAAGCTTCTCTTCATCTTTGACGGCCTGGATGAAAGCAGACTTTCTCTGGACTTCAGCGATAGTCTGATTGTTTCTGACATCACACAGAAGACATCAGTTAATTGTCTTCTCACAAACCTCTTTAAAGGGAAACTTCTTCCTTCAGCTGTTATCTGGATAACTTCCCGCCCTTCAGCTGCTGATCAGATCCCTCCCTTACATGTTGACAGAGTAACAGAAGTACGAGGCTTCACCGATACCCAGAAGGAGGAGTACTTCAGGAAGAGGTTCAGCAATGAAGAGCTGTCCAGAAGAGTCATCTCCCATATCAAAACCTCCAGGAGTGTCGATATTATGTGTGGAATCCCAGTCTTTTGCTGGATCACTGCTAAGGTTTTGGAGACCATGCTGGAAACCAGGCCAATGGTAGAGTTACCCAAGACCATGACTGACATGTACTCACACTTCCTGCTGGTCCAGACCAGGAGGAAGAAGAACAAGTACCATGAAGGACATGAGAAGACCCCACAGGAGCTCACACAAGCTGACACTGAAGGTATTCTGAACCTGGGAAGGCTGGCATTTGAACATCTAGAAAAAGGAAACATTATGTTCTACCAAGAAGACATGGAGCGGTGTGGTCTGAATGTCACAGAGGCAACTGTCTACTCTGGGGTGTGTACAGAGATCTTCAAAAGAGAAAGTGTGATCTTCCAGAAGCCTGTCTACTATTTTATTCATCTGAGCATCCAGGAGTTTCTGGCTGCATTCTACATGTTTCACTGTTTTACCAGTAAGAACACAGAGGTAATGAGGAAATTTCTTGGACAACAATACAGGGAAACAACTCTGGAGGACTTCATGAAAAGAATTATGGAGAAATCCCTCAGAAGCAGAAATGGCCACCTGGACCTGTTTGTACGGTTCCTTCATGGCATCTGTGTAGAGTTCAACCAGAGCCTCTGGAGAGGCCTGTTAGGTGAGACAGAGGTCTGCCTAGAAACCAGGCAGAGAGTCATTAACAATCTGAAAGACATGAACACTGAATACATCTCTCCAGACCGAAGCATCAACATCTTCCACTGTCTGATGGAGATAAAGGACCTCTCAGTTTATCAGGAAATTGAAGAATTCCTGAAATCTGAGAAAAGATATGAGAAGAAGCTGTCAGAGATACAGTGTTCAGCTTTGGCCTACATGCTGCAGATGTCAGAGGAGGTTCTGGATGAGTTTGACCTAGAGAAGTACAACACAACAGAAAAAGGACGACTGAGACTGATTCCAGCTTTAAGAAACTGCAGGAAAGCTCGGTGAGTCCAAATGTCATTATAGAGTAAATAATTATTCTGCATTGCTGTTCTCATTTTTGATCTTTTAATAAAGGCTACTGACCTCTACAGGTATTTTCACAATAAATGAGAATCTTGCAACAGGAGCAAAGGCTTCCCAGGTTATCTATATGTTGAATGTGGATCTAGAGCAAGTTGAGGGAGGCTAAGGTGGCGAATTTACGAGATTCAGTTCATTTCAATTACTTTATTTATCCCCACAGGGAAATTCAGTTTTGGTACAGCCTGTCCAAGAAGACAAAAATATATAGAAAGACATTACAAAGACATTATACTCGGGGGTGCACTGTCTGAGGCCTTGATGCCACAAAAGGTGCTGTCCCTATAGTAAGAAAAACAAAAGAAGGAATCACAGTGGCTCAGGGCAGGATAAAATAATTTCCTACTTTATCCACGCAGAACCCGCACTGAGGGACTGCAGAGGGAGTGTAATTATGGCTGACTGAACAAATCTAGGACTAACGAGCTGATCAGGAGCAGGTGTGAGAAGAGCTGACAAGGAATCCAAGGGTAAAGAAAACACAAGGGGGCAACATCGGACCACCAAAGAAAAACCTAAGAAACTTATATAAATACAGAACACACCAATAAAGCTAGAAAACAAAGACAAACCTGGATAAACTTGAAACCAAGAGAACCAAGATCGATACAAGAACTAAACGAATATATTGAAAAATGAAATACATTTTTAATGCAAAGACTTTGAATAGAAAACTTTGAACATAGCAATAAGTCAGGAAGTTTCTTAACTAATCAGCTAAAAATAAACAAAGAAAAAACTACTATTTTTGCAATAACATAATATATTACAGGTTCAGGAGGATATTAACAATGCCTTCTGAGATTTCTATAAATCTTTTTACACATCACAGTTAAATCCATCAGATAATGATATCAAGCAATTTCTGGATAAAATAACTCTTCCTAAATTATCAGAGTCAAAGAGTGACTCTGGACTCACCGCTGTCAATGTTGAAGTTCAGGAAGCATTAAAAAGCATGCCAAATAATAAATTGCCAGGTCCAGATGGGTTCACCACTGAGTTCTATAAAGAGTTCTGGGACATTCTGGCCCCAATGTTTCACAGAATGCTGCAGGAAACTCAAGATAATGGAACATTTCCAGTTAATATGAATTCTGCCACCATCAGTCTCTTGCTTAAGCCAGGCAAAGATCCTATGTTTCTGACCAGCTATCGTCCCATATCCTTAATTAATGTGGATAGGGTTAGACATGCAGACTGCTTAATTTAAAAGATTATTCCTACAGCAAAATTATAAAATCCTACATATTGTCTTAAGCTGTGAGGTCAGTGTAGTCAAATATTCTCTGGCAGGTGTATAGAAACACTACTTCATGCATTGTTAAGCACTCTGAAAGAGTTGCTAAAACATCATTACAATGGTCTGTTGTATTGATGCCAATTGTAGGAATGGCTTTGGATCGGGAAAAGGAATGTTAAATTATCGGAAAGACCCGGTTTTGTGTCAAATTTCGATCCGGAAAGTAAACAGATTAGACAAAAATCAACTGGAAAATCTGGTTTCCAAACTGATAGAGCAAACTATGTTGACTCACATCACGACAGATTATTTTATCATCAATCCTGTTCTCAAAGCATCAGTTGGATTCAATAAAGCAAAGTACATTACTCAAAAAATTAAAGGAGCACTTTGTAATCAGAGTATGGCATCAAGTTAATTAAACTTCTGGGGTATTGATTTGGTCAGGTAAGTAGCAGAGGCGGTTGTTAATCAGTTTCAGCTGCTTTGGTGTAGAGGGGCAACAACGAGACGACCATCAAAACAGGAATGGTTTTACAGGTGGAGGCCACCAACATTTTTCCCCTCCTCATATTTTCTGACTCTTTTTCACCAATTTTGCATTTGGCTAGGGTCACTGTCACTACTGTTAGCATGAGGCGCTTCCTGGACCCTACAGAGGTTCCACAGACAGTCCAACTCCCCCAGGATGGTGCATCAATGCGTACCATTGCCTGGTCAAATGATGTGGCATCCTTTTGTTCCTAACACATCACCCAGTCTATATCAGTATAAATAAACAGCATGACTTCTTTCCCCCATTGAGATTTGATGTGTTTTCAAAGTGTTCCTTTAATTTTTTGAGCAGTGTATATCTCAAAACTTCACACCTGCAATCAAGCCAGTGGACAATGTTAAATGATTATAATAGAGGAAAAGATCATGGAACAGATTTTAATAGCTAAAATCTGTTGCCAATAAATAGAGCCCTGGAATCACATCCTAGTTGGCAAAAACATTTAAATGTTTTCCCCCATGATGATCCTTTTTATTGTAAAAGATATATTTGCTTAGAATTTAAAATTTTAGTTCTTATCATTATCAGTTACCCTTTTTGTTTCCCTGGAAAGAGGAAAGTTCAACTCAGTCAAAAAAAAACAATAGACTCTTCATCTCTACAAAGTGTAAGTCAAATTATTAATCTGACCTTCATTAAAAGTAAAAAAAGATCAATCTCAATGCAAAATGTTAAAATCATAACACAAAGATGTTTCACACAGATTCAGTTCTTCAGAATCAGGGTCAGTCAAAGCACAGATTGAAAAGTTGGAGGATTTAATCTCAGCGCTCCTCTTTCCCAATGGTAGCTGAGATGACCCGATCCTCAGAGTTCATTCTCTAATCCAGAAATCTCTGCCAATACAGACTATCAGCACAACACTCTGACTTTCTTTTGTATCAAGAAACTAATATCAAAAACTCAGATACTAAAATGTTCATCTTTCATTAAAATACAACACATTACAACAAATTTCCCTTCTCATTCATGTTGTATAATTAAAAAATCAAAAAGCCAAAGCTGATGTCAGACATCTTCAGGTGGGCGTCTTCATCTTTCTGTTGATGTTGGTCCCTTATACAGGCGACAGTTTGAACGTTGTCTGCAGAACAGCTGGTCCTCAACACATCAGGTGGACTACTGATGTGTTAATTAACCAATCAGAGGGGATTATTCTGCCCCTTTATTCTGATTGTTGAAGCTTTTCCTGGTTCCTTCCAGATGAGCTCCGATGAGCTCTGATCACTTTCTTTTGATGACTTTGAGCCACACCTCCTCCTGCTGAAGGATGGAAGGATGGCTGAGATGGTCCTCCATCAGGGTCTCCACGCACCTTGGTCCCTCTGTAAAGCCTTCTCTGACTAAGGGGAAAAAAAGGTCTTGTAGGTCATTTTAATGTGTCACCTGTCAGTCCCAGTCTGACCAGAGGTCAGTGGTCCGGTCCGTTCTGTGGTCCAGGAACGGGTCGACCCGTCATGAGCTCATGGGGAGGAAAACTGGTCAAAGTGACCAACAGTCTGAATTAAAGGAGCTGAGGGAAGGAAAGATCAGATGTTATCTTACCCTTTCACAAACAATATGAGATAAAAATAAATTAATGTAGCTTAAAGAATTTTAGATTAAAATTTGAACTTTAAACTTTGGACTCACAAATCATTGAATTATTCCATAATTTCAAACTTACCCAGTAAATTTACTTCCTTAGTGTTCGGTACTCTTTATCACTTCTGCACCTGCAGAAATCCAAACAAACTTCTCCTCAGCAGAGGAGGGAGGGAGGACCTGCAGCGTTGTAAACAAGGGGAGACGCTGCAGCACAGCCTTCTGCTGCTTCCACCAGACATGATGTGTGGAAGAAGAAAATAGGCTTTCCATGTGATTTCAAGAACGATGTTTCCAAGGCAAAACAAACTCAAAGAACCAGAAACAAGAGTTTCATGAGATGAAGAAACAGCGAACCAGTGGTGCAAGAAGCTGAACCATCAACAAACATCAACAATGCTGGTTTTTCCAAACGCACATCAGACAGTCAGGCTGAGGTGTTCAAACTTCATCCAGCAGCCTAGCAATCATTTCTGTCCTCTGCTGCTAAGAATTACCTAAATAGATCATTTTCCTTTATAAGGCCATCTTATTCCCATATTTATTCACTTTATTAGTTTAGTCATAATTTAGTATTTTATTTAGGTTGTTTATTTATTCTGTTCTTAATTACCAACACAAATTCAACATGGACTGTTCCAGATGGAAAAATAAACAGAATCTATATGGATCCTTATGAGTTTGGTTTTGCTGTTTTTCTCTTGTTTTAATAATCTTCCCCTCTTTCCACCCTTTTATTCATCAGAACAAATAAAATATGTCCTGTTGAAGAAAAACCATAAAGTTTCAGTCATTTTAACCTCCAGATATATCTGAGCTATGGATTCATTTAGAATAGATCATTTTAAGGTCTCCACCATTCATCTTAATGTAGGAATTAAATCCTTTTATCTATATCCTCTGTAAATTTCATTGTAATAATTAATGTTATCATTATTATTATTATTATTAACAATTGAGTCATTGGAACACCGTCTAATTATTAACAATTACTTTTGATAAATACATTTGCATATTTATTCCAGATCAGCTTAAGATACATTTACTTCTTAATGAATTTCAATATTTTAAAAGTAAATTCAACCAGCCTAATTTATTTTTATACAAGTTGTTTTGCTCTACACACAAATATTTATTTAACCTTAAAGTTTAATCTAAATCTTAAAGAATTAGGGTTGACAAATAAAACTTAAGTATTTAAATAATGACACAGTTCCTTGCTTATTTGAAGAAATTCCAAATTATTGTTAAACAAACAAAATATGTTAATTTATTTAATTAAAAAAAAAAATCTGTTTCATTAAACTTTATTTGTTGTGATATCTGAACCTTATATCAATCTCCTTTATTCCTAATTTAAACAGCTGTGCATTAACGTTAACACATTTAACCCCTGCTTTGTTTTGAAAACAGGTTAGGGGGAAGAATTATTATTCCTTCATTTAACCAGGAAAAGTCCCATTGAGATTAACAATCTCTTTTTCAAGGGAGTCCTGGCCAAGACAGTGGCAAAAGATTACATTACAAATTACATTACA